GTACTAGTGTAGGACATTTAGAGGGGTAGTAACCCTGACTGACGAATTTTGATTATTCGAAAATCTAGCTGGCTCTGCTCAGTACATTGAAGACATTCGTGTTCTGCAAACTCACTCGTATATTGAACGCCGTAGCGAGCTCTTGAAGTTTGCCCCAATACATGTCATCATCAGCTGGAGGGAACTGCGTTACCACCGTCACCGCAGTGTCACGGAGCCCGATTTCTAAAAAATACCGTCAATTACTCTTTCCAATGTATGGCAATTAAGGTCACAATTTACAGTAACAAACGAAATTTATACATATGTAGGATTTAAAACTGACTTGTTAATAAGTTATACATGGGTTTATAGAAGGGCAGGTTCATACAACCGTATACGCTCGGGTACACTGGCATCTCGTTCTGCAAGTTTGCCAGAAAAGTGTCTTCACTGGATTCCTCCACATACTGTACAGGATCTGTAAATACTGCTCTACTGTTCGAGGAGAATTAGCCAATCGTTGAAGGCAATGAAAAGCGCATCCTCAACCATCGGGAGGATAAACTACTATGGAGTTCGTTTTTGGGGTGCAGCTACGCACTCGACCCGACCCCCTTCAGGACCTATTAAACCTATAAATTCAATGAGCCAGCATACATAAGAGTCGGATTTTTGATCCTTCCACTTGAGTCTGATACCAACTCTAGGGTTGTGTGAGGCTTAGTTGTCCTAAAACGCTATCGGTCCGGAATTCGATACTGCACCTTGGACGTTCTCGTGCGACACTTGGCATTACCCCACCTTTGCCTTTTGAGAATTACGGGAGGATGAAGTCTTTTTTTTGATAATCAATGCCATTCCTGGGGTNGCTTTTGTCACCCCGAGTGGATGAAAAGTTCGCAGCCTGGGCAGATATCGTTTCTTGTGGGGTACTGGATCATCAGTACATAATAGTGCGGCACCTTTCTGTACAGCACCTGTGCTCATGAGAGTGAGGTAAAACTGAGGGGATGTGATGCTCAGAAAAAAATGAAAATTTGAAAGAATGAGAAAGGAACTGTGGAAAATCGCCGCTTGTCATCTAACCCTTCGAATTTTTGGTCCATGTTCGATCGTGATCTCCCTTTGATTTTCTTTCATCTAGTCAGGGATCCGCAGCACTCTTGGGAGGATTGTTACTGACATTGGGACCTTATATTACAACAATCATTTTTACTGCGACTGAAATGGCTCTTCAATTTCAGTAAGCCGTATCCATAATGATGTACTGTAGAATAAGAACACTTACATTCATCAGTTGAGCTTACACCTTCCTTGTACACACCGAGATTGTATTGATTGTAGTTGTATGTTTGCAGATGATTTTTCACAGACTGTAATTTTAAATTAGATAATTTATTGCATAAATGAATGTCCTGTAGAATAAAGTAAGATAAGAATGGTCTTGATAACGTTTTTGTGCAACATGCAGGACATGTGAGAGGGGGGAAGGTGCTCTGCCCACTTAGCTATCTAATACCGATCAATACCGATTTTTGGGCAATTGGCTGGGTAAATACAGTTTACTAATTACCCTTAGATATATACAAACCTTAAGGTACCAAGGGAAATGCGAAACACCAGTACAAGGACGATCGATACAGATCAATTGGTGCAGACCCTAGATCACCTGCATAGCGACAACACTATATGAGTTGCACTACAGCCTTAAAGGCACAGTTCACGATAATTTTAGGGTATCCGGTTTTTGACGAAAAATGTTAGGTACGGCCTACAATTGTACAATGGAATAGCAGAAAACGCGAAAAACAATGAATAGAAAGGAATACAAAGCCTAAAAAAGAGAAAAGGGGGATTGGACGAGTTACTCGGCGAAAAAACGGCAGTTAACGGAATTTTCAGGCCAGTATACCATTGCGACGTAATGTCTGCAATTGCGCACAACTCGTTCAAACGGCTTATTTTGGCTCCTTCGTTAATACTATTTATTCTGCTGCTGATATTAAGCTAGTTTACGGTGCCTGATCCTTTTCATGACGGCTGAGGATAATTAATTAGAATAGAATAGAGCAGAATATCATTCGAATAGTAGGAATACAGCCGAATACTTTTACTTGTAGAAGGCGGTCGATCAGCTTATTGATTTTTCACTAATGTTGCTCCAATGCGAAAGTGGTGAACGGCAATCAGATTTCGTAGTCAGCCTAGCCAGGGGCGGAGGCTGACCGTGCCTCACTCTCCGGCCCCCTATTGCGCCCTATCCAGAACGTTTTTCGACTTCATTCCGGCACATATGGTATCAGAAGGGGCCCCGAATTCATACCATGTGCGAATCTCCGAAAACATTTTTGTCGTGAACCGTGCCTTTAAGGTAAGGCTCTAGACCGACACTCATATGATGTTGGTAAGCAGTAAACGTATTGAAGTATAAATAGGTCAACGCGAGTACTTCATAGGAGGGAGCAGAAAAAGTTCACGGACGCGACTCCCAACCGTCCACTTTTCCGAGCTTAGAGCAGAACGAACTGTGGACCGAGCTTTGTCTTTAGCTCACAGAATACCTACAGAGAGCAGTATTTTCCAATTACTCAGATATACTCAATCTTAGAAATGAATCTATAAAATACCTCTTTGAAGTGATTGAAACCAGCTTTTCCCCAGAAATCAGTGAATACATTATAGATCACCACATTGAATGTTGACTGCTTAACAAAAGCTGATGCCGGTGCTTGTGACAGCATCACTGAATAGCCTCGATTACATTTTTTTGCTAGCAGTTGTTCACCAAGTAAATCACCTACCAGGATCGCAATGGGGACCAAGATATCCTGTTGGACATTGGCAGAAAGCAGTCCCATTCTGGGAATATCCTTCGTTGAGGCAAACTATATCACGGCACTTGCCAATGTCGCCATCTGGGAATTTGGAGAAAGACAGTCTTTCAACAAGTAGGAAAATGTAATAACTGTAAGTAAAAGTCCACAGTATTCGATACAGAAGGCAAACTCCAGTATTACAGAGCACCAGTTACATTTTAGGAAACGAGTAGGGAAGAGGATGGAATGAATGGGAACGGCCAACTACGGGAATGCCTGAATATTGCTCGCTTGCTGTCTCTCCTTTCAAGGACTCGTAGCGACTGGATGACCTGTAGTGCTATGATTGGCCGACTAGGGTATCAGCCAATCCAGGCTCTATCCGCCTGAGTAACTCTACATTATATCAGCATAAAATTCACAGTAGCAACTCGAGCTAAATATGGGAGTAGCGAGAGTCCTCACAGGGAATAGTGGCCATTGGAAAATTTTCAGTTATTTACTTACCACGCCAATACCGATGACAGACACAGGTGCCATTTGGTAACCGATAGCCACCGATTTGACAATCGTCACTGATGAGATCGCAGTAAACCTCCGCTGAAAAGCAATTGATTGACAGCGTAGGGTTGGGCTAGTGCCAAAAATGATAAAAAATGGCCATTTGAGCAAATCTTGTACATTTTGATTGTATTCATCCTTTGCATTGAAAACCTACTTTTCCACTCAGTGCAAAACATTTTGCTTCACATAAACTTCTCACTCCGCAACCGAATACGACATCCTCTCAGGTATACCAAGACACTTACCCTCTTCAATACATCGGTGCATGGTGCATAGAGTAAAACCTCCTTGTAGTCAAGAAAGTTAAACCACAGGGGGAAGGGGCGAGCAAGTTACCAGTACGGACTGCTTTGCAAAAGCTCAAACAGAATTACCAGAAATAGCCTTTCAGAATGATTCTCTCTGTCGAAGGACCATTGCGCTAAAAGACATGTCTGTTTTTTTCCAACGATGTACCTCCTCAAGTTCAAATTGAGGACGTACAGGGTCAAATTCACCTCACATTTTTTTACACCGAGGTATTAGGGATTATCGACTAGAACTAGGTCGTAAGTAAGATCCAAATTTGATAGTAAAGGCAGACATTCTTGCCACTATTCAGTCTCTCAGTTCACTTAAATGTGTTCTTGAGCTAGTAGAGTATTGTGGGTGAAATCTCAGCGCTANTCAAGTTCAAATTGAGGACGTACAGGGTCAAATTCACCTCACATTTTTTTACACCGAGGTATTAGGGATTATCGACTAGAACTAGGTCGTAAGTAAAGACAGACATTCTGATAGTAAAGACAGACATTCTTGCCACTATTCAGTCTCTCAGTTCACTTAAATGTGTTCTTGAGCTAGTAGAGTATTGTGGGTGAAATCTCAGCGCTACAAAGAGACAAGCTGCAGCGATAGCTGGAAATGTTATCTACATCGCAGTATTCAATAGTGTTTTCGCCATTCTCCTGCGAACGTTTGGCTTCTCATTGAGATTTTCATTAATTTTTTAGCTTTAATCAGCTTCTATGCTGCAAGGAGAATACTTGGAAGGCATTGAAATAATTTAAAAATCGGAAATAAGTAAGGGAACGAAGTAAAGTTAAAAGCGCCCCACTTTCACACTTTGTCTACTGTCTGTCAGAAATAAAGTAATTGTAAACGGTCACATGGGAAAGCATGGGATGAATATGAGCAAAGTGAACATGCTGTTTTCTAGAGCGAACGTACCTGTCCGTGCTGCAACCAGTAATAGTAGAATGGCCTTAGGACCCATTTTCTGAAGGTTTCTTTTTGAGGAAATAAAAAATTTCAAAAAAAAAATCGATTCATTAGCAATGCGGACTTTTAGAATGTGAACAACCTAGTCTGGACTGTGAGGCTTGGAGAAATTTGGGGAAGGAGAAAGTTTTTTTTACGAATGATTTAATAGAAGCAATTCAGAGAATTTGGTGGAAATGGGTGTGTCGAGGGTACTCCTGACTGCATTTTATTTCAGCTGATAAGCTATTTGTGATAAGAGGCCGAGCGAATGTCTCCAAATGCGTATCACTGGAAAGTTTTTATAAAACAGTAATCAATTCGAAAAAGATAATCCTATCATCTTCTGGAAAGCTAATCAACTAAAGAGTGCATGTAGATGATTAACATTAAGTGTCTTTGGGATACGGTCTGTGCGTTTGAAAAAAGTTATGAAAACCCTACGACGCAAGAAATATTATGGTACTTACTTCCTCAACTGGGAAAGTCGTTTTTTTCAGAAAAAGCAAGTGGGAAGTAAAATGCAGCTTTTCCATAAATTCCGGACATAAATAATTATATTTACATTGTGACCATTCCTTGCACGTATATTTAATTAATTTCCCTCTCTTGTTTCCAAAAAAGTTATAAATTGCTGTGGTATGATCCCAGCACATTTTGCAAAATGAACATAAACTCGAGTTTCACAAGAATGGCGAGTTGCGAGCAGGACTTTAGCCTCGGACGAGAGCCCAAGGTCTGCTTGTATATCCCGGATATATCCTGTATATCCTGTATATCCTCGTTTTTCCTTTCAGTACCGAGACCTCGCTTGCCCTAACCTTTTCAATGGCTTCTTTAAAATTGAGTTATGTTGCACTTACTTACTCTTCGGATGAAATTTCCTTCCGGGCTCGTTTTATTCTTGAGCGTACTCCGAATTTGTAGGACGGAAAATGAAAAAGATGGAAATCTTATCAGATCCGAATCCATCAGGTTGTACGTTATCTGATTACCTTCCATTGGTCCTAAAAACAGGATGAAGCTTCTGGAGTGGGAGCTCGTTCTTAAGAATCAAACATGTCCAAAAAGGGAGTGAAACACTTGCTCTGCATCCATACTGAACATTCAATGATTACTAAAAACATAAATCATCTTTATAATCAATTCCCAAAAATTTGTGTGTGTCAATCACCCATCATTTTCGTATGCTCTTGATAATGTTTTTGACTCTGTATTCATTCCTTCATCTGTGAAAGACCCATAGGGAACCGCTATTCACGGACAGGCCTACACAGGGGTTCATAGGTTGCTCTCCTTTCAGCACCTATTGTTAAGTAATGATAGTCAGGAAATGTGATCATCTCTTCGTTCTCGTTGTGGACATCTGTTATCCGAATTATACAAGGCTCTGACGGTGCTCGGCAGTACCTTCCTACGTAGTCATTGAGCTTTTACAAATTCACCGAGAGTTGAGCCAAAAACCAGTGAGAATCAAAAAACTTTTATTGCCCTTGTGGTGGACCACTCTATTTTATCGAAGGACACTTTTTCTCAGTCTGGATATTTACTTTTCTATTCCCTTCTATTCTTGTTATCGCATCCTGCTGGTGATACCTGACAGGTCCCATTCCGCTAGCTTTAAGAATGAATGGCAAGTGACATGCTGCTGAAATCAAATATAAAACAGGTTGCCTCAATTTAGAAGATCTGCACTTACAAAGCGACAACGGCTACATCCGGCATTGAAGATCTAGCGACGTAGTCCAGAAACTTTAAAGGCACCGTTCACGATAAAAAAGTTATTGAGATCTTACCTTATTAATACTCAGCGGCTTCCATGGGTTGTGGAAGGGTTCCTCTCACTCCCCCAATCTCGACGT